CTATTTGTGTAACAGCACTAAAAGTAGTTTGACCTTCTGCATATTCTATTCTTGTGAGAAGACCTATCCTACATTCCAAACGTTTAGGCGTACAGCAGAAAGAGGTAAATTGTAGTGAAAAGTTACCTTTAACACAAGCATGTTTGAGTGTATTGTTTCAGTGTTTATATGCCTAATAGACATAGTCTTATGTAAAACACAGGATGCTATTCATTTATAAAATTTAAACTGTATATAATGAATGTGAAATGGAGTTATTATGCAAGAGCATTAGATGAAGTTTCATTGGCATCTGGTGAAAAATATTGGCCACAAATTTACGGCAATACTGATTTAGCTATTATTGCATCAACATTTTCCCCAATTTGTAAAATAATATTTCTGTGGGTTTTCTTTAGAAAAATAACCTAAACTATGGGATATCTCAGTTGTGTTTTCAGTCCTCGGTGGAATAAAGATGTGAAAATTTAAAAGGAAATGAGCTTGTTATTACAGTTGAATATTACAGAAGCGTTATATCTGTACTATACCTAAAGCCACGAAGTAAAAGAACTAGATTAAAACCAGAATCATATGAACTAAAAAATTTTAAAAATGACAATTTAACCTTTTTTTTCTAATCACACTTATTTTAACCTTTGGTTAAAGTCTTGAAATACAAAACTGAACAATTCATTTTAATAACCTGTAAGAAACAGAAGCTAGTTTACACTAAATCATACTTGCCCTTTTATCTTACTAATGTGTACCATTTCAGCTATCAGGTTTTCAAGCAACTTGAAGCAGAATTTTTATCAAGCCTTTCTATCAGATATTAAACTAAATGTCAGTTACAAGTTGAGACGTCCCTTATTATGACAGTTTGAAGTACATCTAAATTGATAATTATAACATCTACATCAAATTGGATCTATTATGACAGCTTAGTAGCCTTGCCACTGTAATGGCCACATGAAATCACAAATGAAACTAGATTGCAAACTAGATAGGGCTAAATGGATTGCAATAGTACTTGCAGACATCAAAATGTCTATCTCTTCCTTGGTGCCCAATGGACTTTCTGCCCCACCTCAGTTGGAGGGATGAGTTGGTGGATGGATGCATATTTGTAGAGCTCAGTGTATAACATTTGTTTGCAGCAATACTTTTCAGCCTCACAAAAGTCCCATTAGGCTGGTGAAGAGCAACTGAGAGGTAATTTGTCTTCCCAGAAATAGATAGCTTGTCATTGGCCTACCATTGCAATTCTTTTAGGCCTCCCCCCCCCAGCGCATGTTATCCAAATTTCCGACGTTTCCCAAGCCCCCCAAAGTTTTCTCTCCTTGTGACTTTAAACATACATATGTACCTACAATTGACAGACTAGGGAAAAGAATTATCAATTTTGTGCTACAAAGATATTTGACAAAAATTATTATCAACATTATGTTGCAAAATTTGGCTTGTTTGTAAGGTTTTTTTAAAATGTAATCATTTTTTATAAATCTTTGTAATTGGAATTGTTTGGCAAACAGGCACTCATTGAGGGCGCTGCCTCCTTTTTGACTTTTCTTTGTAGCTATTAGCATGCTGTAAATAAAATTTCTGAGTGTTAACAGAGAAGATAATTTGTATCAAGTGACAGAATATTTAGCTGATGAAGTATTCTGTTTCATGTTGTCCTGAATAATTTTAGTTCATCACTAAAGTCTTTGGATTATGGATGCATGCAACATTTGGGTTTAAATCGCTTCAAACATAAAACAGCGTTTCTCAAGCCTTTTGGAAGAGTTTCATCATAATAAGATTTTTTAAATAATATCTTATGTTCAAAATGGTTCGAAACAAACAATTTTGCATACTTCAGCTTGGAATCCCTTTCTAACTATTTGTGGTTACTAACATAAATCAAAATCCTTGGGATTAAAATTTACTAAAAAGTTTACTTCTCATAATGGCATATGGACACTGCATAGGTTAATAGAAGTGTGTCGTTGATGGTTAGGTGATAATCCATGATTTCTTTTATCAAGACCTGGTTCACAACATTAAGCTAAAAAGTAAGCTTTACTGACCACAATAATTGGACTTAAGCATAACCTGAAACTAACTGGTTTATTACACTATATAAATTCAGTCAATCTTCATTACTGTTAAAACAGTTAATTTTTTACGATTTGATTTATTTTTAATAAGATTTCTAAGTTGTCCAGCCCCAACAATTTTATTCAGGTTAACAAATGCTAACAATATTTTTTTAAAAAATGAGGATAATGCAATTTAGATGGTTCAACAACTAATTCTATCCTTCAATAATGGATAAACTACCACATCCATTACCCTGACTCTAACTGCAACCCTAAAGCCTGAGGAAGTGTAATGTTTTTAATGTACTATTTTAAAGGCTGATAAGGTGGAATCATACAAATCTTGAGGTGGGGGGGGGGATGCACAGAAGGTCCACCTCCTGTAACTGATGAAACTAGAAGTAGCCAACTGTATCAGATGTTATAGGGTGGGCAGAAACCATAGGACACATATGTCCCTTAATTAGCTATGCTCTATGCCAGGGGTGTCAAACTGTCAGCCCACAGGCCGGATGCATCATGCCCAAACTGCGCCCATCCCATTTGCTGGCAATGGAAAAAAAAGTCATGACATGTCATGTGATGTTGCAAGTTTGACACCCCTGCTCTATGCCATAGAGGGCTTGAACAGTGACAGTTCCTTAAATTGTTCTCTGAAGCAAAGTGGAACCTGTGTAGTTCATGAAGCAGGGGTGTCCGTGGGTATGGTACAACATGCCCATTACTTCTCATGCAGCTGTGGAATCACTGGTATCTTCCAAACGATTATCAAAACAACCCCTTTTACAGCGCATTGCAATAAGAAGAAAGGACACAACTGGTGAACAAGATTAGTGTGAAAGACCCTCCTGAACACAGCTGCCACCTGCCTATCAAGCATTGAGGGACAAAGATGGAAGAATTCGCACTAGGAATCTCAAATATCCACAACCAGTTTTGCTAGGGTTGAGACTTGGTTTGTTCTTCCTCATCCAACCTTCAGAGCAAGTGCTGTAAAAAGTATTGGGTTTTTTGTTGTTTTAATCAGCAGGGAAAAAACTACACAAAATAGTAAAAAACACATAGAAGAATAGATGGGCTTATGTTGCCTAGCAAAGTTAGGTAAAACACAATCTAATCTACAGGGAAAAATACAGAAGAGTAATTGTGTTAGTACTAGTATCTGGAAAGGTGTTCTCTTAATTTGTTTTGACCCTAAAATAAAGGGCTGGGTAAAATACAAAAATAGGAAATGCTGAACTAGTACTATCTGCCAAGCAGTCCCATAAAAGGGGTTAGCATTTAGGCACATTAAACCAGCAAACAATATGCTGTATTTGAAGACAAAAAGACTGTGTGTTTTATAGTGCCATATTTAGGGAGTTCCAATTGGCTCTAATTCTAAGATCTAAGCGTAAGGTCCGTGCTTTGGGGATGGACGGACAATATAAACACAGCAGTGAATGCAGCAGCTCATATAATGTGGAAAAAGACCCAGAAGACAATACTTGCGCGCAAGACTACTTTCATAATGTTTTCAGAAAATGCGGTAGGTTCATTTAAGAGTGCTATCAGCAAATAACAACTTCGTTCAGCCAATAAACAATAAGGGGCCTTAAATGTATTTTTGTAGTAGCAAAAAAGAAAAAAAATAGACTAAATTTTACTTCGGATGAAAAAGACAAAGCAGTGTGATTACTAGCAGTGCATATCTAAACGTTCAGTGAGAAAGTTATCTAAACTTGGTATAGTCCAGGGGTAGGCAACCTCGGCTCTTTTATGACTCATGGACTTCAACTCCCATAGCTGGCTCAGGAATTCTGGGAGTTGAAGTCCATGAGTCATAAAAGAGCCGAGGTTGCCTATCCCTCGTATAGTCAGTCTTACAGTCAAAATTCTTGTGGAAAACGAAAGAACTCTTACGAATTCCAGAGGAGTTAGCAGAGAAGTTTAATTGCGCAAGGTCCAGAGCATATTAGAAATAGGCAATTCTGAACGAGGAGGGCGTGATTAGACTTCAGTTTTTATACTCCCCTCCTTAAAGAACAAAGGGCTACACGTTGAAATACACACTGTGATACATTCGGAACGTTTCTCACAGGCACGGAATGGAAGGTTTTGCTACATCCAAAGTATCCACGTGCAGAGCGCATTTGGTTGCCACATATTACTGACAGAGAACTTTCCCAGTGATTATGCATTACATCATTGTTCTAGCAATTATGCAGACACATCGTTATTGCAGTTATGCAGACAAATCATTATTCTAATCATTGTTCAATTTTACTATAGTATTATATTAAGATAAATCGACAACAAACCATTAGCAGGAGAAGCAATATATGAGTAAAGGTCGTGGCGCGCACGCGTGCCAAAAGCCGTTTTTTTTTCCCTTTCCGGGGAATCAATGAATTCAGTTGCACGTAGGCCTCGCTCACGATCTCGTTGACATCAGAAACAAGAAAACGTTTGATCTTCGAAGGAGGCTGGCTAAGTTAGTTGGGGAGAGGGAGCAATGCGGTTCAACGGGTGCAGCGGAACACGAGCGGCGTGGAGCGGATCAAGTGGCCGGCACTAGTCTTTAAGTCAGCGCCTTCTGCAAGGCCGAGCAATAGACGCGGCGCATTCTTATTTAGAAACCGACTTTCTCCCCAGTTTGGGGGGGAAAAAAAATTAAGCTTTCGCTTCTGCATCGCAAATTACGGAAACGGATATTAAAGATACTTTTATTTTCCTCGCAATATCCGTTCTTGCTTTCCCTCTCTCAGGCATAGATCTACGAACAAAAAAAAGCGAGCTCTGTGATTGGTTTGAGCGTCAGCTGTTTCCCTGCTCCCGCCTGATTGGCTACTCCGACTCACTCGCGTTCCCAATCCCACCAATCAAGAAAAGGGGTGCCAAGTTTTGATTGTCGCGGAGGGGAAGCTTCGCGCCCGGTACCTTCTTCTCGCCGCTTTCCCGTAGTTAACATTTGGTAAAGAGCTGGCGGGGGGCGGGGGGAGTCTCGCGAGGAGCTCGCGCAGGGGTCCCAGCGAAAGGGTCGCGCCGCTGCTTGGTGGGCTTCGTCAGTGGTTCGCAGTTCTTCGACGGGCTGGCAGCTCTGAAGCCGCCCCCGTCCGCGGTGGGTCCGGATGGCTCGCGTCTTGGCCCGCTTGCACCCTCGCCCAGCTTCTGTTTGTTTTATCTGCATGTGGCTCTAAAGTGAATTATATAAAGACAATCCCACTGGTCAAATCCAGTAACCAGTTAGCCCAGTGTTTCTCAACCTTGACAATTTTAAGGCATGTGGACTTCAACTCCCAGAATTCCACAGCCAGCTTTGCTGGCTGTGGAATTCTGGGAGTTGAAGTCCACATGCCTTAAAATTGTCAAGGTTGAGAAACACTGGTAGCCTTATGTGAAGAACGGTTCTTAAATCCCTGTTCAAAATGCTTTGGGAGTGGCCGTATTACTGCGAATGGCGTAATGCAAAACCAGTCTATATTCATATTTTGCCTGCTTTCTCATTTTTGTTCACATCGGAAGTATATACCAATGTATTTCGATGTTACCATTACGAGTTAATAACTAGAATTTAAAACTCTTGTTGGAGTCACGTTTATGTCTTTTTCTAATTTGATTGCTAAGACACCTTGTGAGATAAGTGTTGTTTTGGTAGAATACGAAGACATTTATTGCAAAACATTTTTGTATAAATGTTAGACGTATTTAAAGAAGTATATAAACGCTTTCAATAAATGGTTTTTTTTAATTTTGTAAACCTGATATTTCCCATGTCAATTTAAGAAAAACGATAAATGTTATATAGAAAACAAAAATGATATTTATGTTTGTGAAAGGATCAAACGCCAAACTTCTAATTCAGATATGTTTGGTACTATCAGATCTGGGATGTGAAAATCTGAATAACCTCCAAATAGCAGCAAAGAATTAGTAATACAGATAGTCCTCGACTTACAATCACAATTGAGTCCAAAATTTCTGTTATTAAGTGAGACATTTTGCTCCATTTTATGGCCTTTCTTGCCTCAGCGGATAGGTTTTGCCTCATTTTATGATCTTTCTCACTACAGTCATTAAGTGAATCACTGCAGTTGATACGTTAGTAACCTGGATGTTAAGTGAATATGGCTTTCCCATTGACTTTGCTTGTCAAAAGGCTGCAGAAGGTGATCACATGACCTTGGGACACAGCATGGTCATCATAAGTATGAACCAGCTGCCAAGCATCTGAATTTTGATCACATGATCATGGGGATGGTACAAAGGTTGTAACTGAAAAATGGTTGTCACTTTTTTTCACTGCCATTGTAATTTTGAATGCTCACTAAATGAACTGTTGTAAGTAGAGGACTACCTGTACTAAATCTCTTTTCCACTATTTTGTGACTGTCTGAATTTTTATTTTGTTAATCTCACAAGTAAAATTCTGATATATTGTTTTGTGCATAAAATACAAAACATCAACAATGTGATTAGAATTAAAAACTAATATGGTAAAGTCATCCATGTAAATAATTTGTAAATTATTTTAATGATATGTTGATATCTGGCATTTTGGTAAATGGATCTCTCTGAACTTATACAAGATCGTAGCTTGTACACATGCAAGAATACCTAAAGCTGTTACTATTTATAATATTGAGAAAATGAATCTAAGAGACTGATACTTGGACCAAAGCATTTTTCCAAACCAGCCATCTTGCATTCAGAGATGGAAATCTTGAATAATCCAAACATAATTCATAAGTTTCATTCCAGCATAGGCGGAATGACATGAAAGGTTTTGCAATTTTCCCTCGTGTGAGAAAAGTGAGTTTTCACTTTAAGCCATAGTCAACCTTTGTCCTGACCAATAAATGTATATATTGCACTGGAACATTCAACAGAAAGATTCTTGTGATTTCTAGAATTGTTTCTCATTGGTTCCCATCCAATTTTTCCACTGCATGAATTTTTTTTCTCTAAGTATCTCATGATTCTGTCACAAACATTTTGGAAAAGATTTGGTTTGTTTTTTTGTTTGTTTGTTTGTTTGTTTGTTTATATGTGTTAAACTATATAGGAGAATGCACACATATAGTATGTAGGCAAGCTGATTTTTTGTAACTTTAAATCAGTCTTATTTTCCTAGCATTACTTTCTGTTGTTCACAATTGAATATCACAAGCCGCTTTGCATTATGTTTATAAATTGGGTACTGGCATGAAACTAAATGTAATGTATTTTTTTTCTTGCAGCTAAAGTAAATAGTTATTGAACTCTTCTGGCATGTTCATCAATTTTAATTTGTGTCTGTCTTAACAGATTACACTGTTTTTTAAATGTCTCTGCTACTGAATCTCTTACGGCAATTGCTGGAATATTATGGTGTGGTCCCAGAACCGGTAAGCAGATACGTCTGAAAAACATATGTTTTTGCATGATTTTTTTAATATTAAAGGGTCTACAGTTCCATACCACTTCTCTTTCTCTTGTCTTCTGGGAATTTTAGCCTATCTCTATACAGGTAGTCCTTGACTTAAAACCATTTGTTCAAAGTTCCAATGGCGCTGAAAAGTGACTTACAACCACTTAACCGTGCACTTAACCATCGCAATGTCCCCATGAACAAGATGCATGCGCTTGGCATGGATTTATGAGGGTTGCAGTGTGCCAGGTTCATGTCATCTCCATTGGCAACTTTCTTTAGCTTCTGAAAGGCAAAGTCAATGGGGGAAGCCAATTCACTTAATGACTGCAGCAAAAATAAAGTTAAAATTCAGCATGTTTCACTTAACAATTACCTCAGGGATAGAAGTTCCGGTCCCAATGGTGGTTGTAAGTTGAGGACTTCCTATAATTTAGTGCTGCAAATGGAATGGAATTTGAAGTTTACCTTTCAAGTCGATTGGCTGTTAGTAGTCGTGAACTGAGCGTCATATATTCCTGAAGCTAAATTTACTTTAATCATGCTGCAATGACACAACTAGCAGTGGTGAGAAATCACAACCTTAGTATGCACATATTTACATTACTTAGAAGCAGCTGCCTGCTGTGTTTTACTATAAATAATTTTAAATTATAATTTTTATATCTCTTCACTGTAAATAATATATCTGTTAAAAGTGGTTTTGCAGCCTACCTATAGTAGCCCTAATGTTACAAAAATTGTACCAACTGAAGTTCCCATTTGGAGCTAAGTCACTTGTTTTGTTGTTGTTTTTCTCCCAATTCAGGCCTTGCAAAGGTGTAAATTTTATCTCAATGGCCTTGTTCGTATGATTGGATCTCGTCTTTCTTCAAATGCCTTTTCAAGAAGATACTTCCAAGAATTATGTATCGTTTCCAGGAATTGTTTGGTGAGGTCATCAATACTTTCCCCCCCTTTTATTTCTAGAGGTTATATTAAAAGATGTAGACATTTGTGTATT